GTGGGGGAGAGAGGGGGTGGGTGGGGGGGAGGAGGGTCCTCTGAGAACTGGAGGCTTCAGTTTTGGAGATTTAAGGGTCTTCATGGAATCTAACAGGCCTCCATCTCTAGCAGAGGGCCCGTAGCTGCTGCCTTCGCTTTGCATGTGGAGAAATTGCTACGTTTTCCTCCTGAAGAAGGAAAAAAAAAGAGGAACAAAAGAAAAGATGAATCAATCAACCACACTATGAAGTAACTGCATGTGTGCATACACACAAAAAAAAAAAATGCTGCTTTATTTTTCTCCTCATCAGTGAGAGAGGAAAAAAAATTAGAAACATCAGTAACCCACACCAAAACACTGGTCACATTCACGTCACATTAACCAAAGCCAGACCTATCAAGATGACTCAGAATGACTCGAGAGTGTCTAACCATGCAAGCATGCCTCCCTGGCTCGGGGAGTGACAAATAACCTGTCATTACCATCTACATAATCCATCATTATTTCTTTTTTCTTCATAGTGTTGTAGCTGATTGAATGAACGGCACTGCAGCAGCGTTGAGCAAAGCCCTGAACTACAGAGGGGTTATAGGTCAGTGACAGGATGTGGGCTGGTCGAGCTTTGATCTAGTCTAACATGGGGGTTGCCGTGACCCAGCTGGCAGTGCTCCGCTCTTCTTTGCCCTCCCCTGACTGACTCATTCCTCCTCTTGCTCTCTTAAGGCGCGCACCCAATTGTGTAGCTTCTGGTTGACATTTTAGGCTGCAGGTGGGCGTTGGGAAAAACAAGATGAGGAAATGCTCTCCATACAGTTGGATCGCCACAGTGACCCAGTTGGTTAAAACTAGCAGAGTTCATGGAACTGTGTTGGTAATTATCTGAGACAGTGCGGGTTCGGGTACAGATTGACACTGCGGTGTAAAAATTTTACCTGACTGCTCAATCTACTTCACAAGACTCTCATGGAATTGGCCCATTTCCCTGACAGGGAAATTGTTCGTCAAGCTGCAAAAGTGTTCTTTTCCCTCTCGTGATGCGGGCTTGAGCTAACATAACAGAGTTAGCTTCAGTTATTGACAAGCCAAGGAGAGTTATTTTAGACCCTAGCAGCATCAAATAGAATCTGTGATCAAAGTGGAGAGGCAGAGACAGAGGTGGATGGATGCCTCCTGCGACTAAAAAGATGGATGTTTTGTGAAGACGAAAAAAGGAAAAGAAACGGTATTAGTTTGCTTTTTCCCTTGTGGCAAAGCCAAGAGTGTGTTTTTGTAGGAGAGAACTCAGCTGAGCCCTGCTGCTCACTGCATCTTTACACTCAGAAGTCTTAACACACACACAAACACACACACACACACACACAAAGAAAGAAACACACACACACACACACACCCTGCAGACGGCTTTACCACATGTGGATAAAAGGGAACAGGACAGAGGCCACCTTTCCCGAAGAGAGCTGACCCTGTGCTGCACAGAGCAGAAACTGAAAGGAGCACAGCGCTCAGAGAAAGAGAGAGCTCCTGTCGCTTTTATTTACCTCCGCCGCCCTCTCTCTTTTCATCCCAGGATCTCAAAGCGGGCCCGCACGCCCGGCACTGCACCCTGTTTCCTGGGGAGCATTTTTCCTTCCCCCACCACAGACATGAAAAGCGCTGGCCTTCCTGCCTGGGGAAGAAGCCTGAGGGGCTGCGGGCAAGAAGTGTGGGTGTGGGGGTGTGTGTGTGTGTGTGCGCACAAGTTTAAAGAAAAAAAAAAAAAAAGGTTGGTGGTAACAGCAGGGGTGTGTATTTGCGTGGTGGTTGGTTGTAGGGGGCACCAGGCCAGCTCTTCACAAGGTCCAGCCGACACAAACACTGGGATTCAGGAGCAACTTGACCCGACCCCTCCTCTCCTCTCCCCTCCTCTCCCCTCCTCTCCTCTCCTCTCCCCTCGCCTCACCTCCCCTCCATCTCCTCCACCACCTCCTCCCTCTACATTAGCGCTCAGGAATGCCGGCTGGACTTTTTTGCAGGAAATGAAACGCTCCTCTGTTCTGAGTGCTAGCGAAGGTTTAGTCCCCCCCCCCCTTCTCTTCTCTCTTCCCCAATTCCTTTCCCTCTACGGGACGGAGGGAGGAGGGGAAGGAGTCGGACAAGCTCTCGCCCAGCTTTTGAAGTGTGGGAGGTTAAGATAACTGGCACAGCCTCGCGTCTCAATCGGCGCTTTCACCTCCCAGGCCAAATCAAAGCGCCCGCAGCTGGGGCCCGCCTGCCTTATAGCCCCCTAACTTCCAAGCCCACCAAACCACCCACCTCCTCAGCTCCATCTCTCCCTACACACAGCTCTGGGGTTTCTTTTGGTGCCATTAAAAAAGGAAAACGCCGCCGACAAATTACTCTAAAAATAAGCCAAGTAGAGAGAGGTGTCTCCAGCGCAGGCTGAGGCGCAGACTTTACCATGGCAGAGGGAAGAGGGGAGATTTGGAGGAGAAACGAGATGGAAGGAGTCATGGTCCGAGAGAGATTAATAGCAACTTGGATCTTATTTTTGTAGTTTTGGCCATCATCTTTGTTATCGGTTATGATTAACATTGTAGTCACCAGGTTTTTTAAGCTCTGGGAACATGGTAACATCGCTATAAAGAAGTCTGACAGGGCAAGTGTGCAGTCAGATGATTGAACAGGTTGTAAAACAAGCCACTTTATTCAAAGGAATTGACATAACTAGGTAAACTGTGATGTTTGGGTGATAATTTTAGTGTTTGACCTCATGCTGTCTTTTAAATCAGTTTGGCTCACCTGGAGGGTTTGTATCCAATTTGTCTTGATTGTCAGGAAGCACTTCCTTTCACACCTAATTGGACTAGCCCTTAACCTAGTGAGTACAATCCGATTGATACCGATGACACAATGATGACCAAAGATAGGAAAATGACACCTAAGCTGTAATAAATGTCAGGGCACAAATACCTTAATTACCTGCAGCCCTACCTGTGAACCAATTTTTGATGATAATTTTCTAATTGTCGAGTAATCCGTCAATTACTTTTTAATTACTTGTTTGATTTTTTTAGTGTAAAGATTTTTAGAGAAATGTTTAAAAGAGCGAAAAAACCCAAAGATGTTGAATTTATTGATATAAATCTGAAAAAAGCAGCTGAATCCAGTAAATGTTTGGTATTTTTGCTTGTAAATGACTTCAGATTACCCAAATTGTTCCGCATGTGTTACAAGAACCATCACTGATGAATATCATTGGTTCAAACCGAACAAACATTTCTATCGGTGTCTTTCATATCTAACGAGTAGATGAATAATGACACCGTGGCCCCTTTAATTTCAACCTGAGATCCAGCAGCAACACAAAGTGCCAACCCTTTGTTACATCATCCTCTCAGTTCAGTCTGGCTCAAGCAAACAGACTCGAGAGCTCCACTAAGTAATCGTCCACACATTTAGATTCGAGTCTTGGCAGTGACCTTTCCTGGATCGCACAGCTGGCTTTGGTGACACCTTTTCAAAGGAGCCCCCTCTTTTCACATTTGTGGCGGAGCCGCTCTTAAAAACACCAGGGGAAAATAAAATTGAGCAGACCAATTAAACAAAAAAAAAAAAAAAGCAGCACCT